TGTCCCATACGACGTTGTAATTATCCGTTTGTTAATTGGGAAGAAATTCCGACCGTCTTCTCCTCATACTGATCACCGGTATCGATTACCGTGTTATGCGTTTTCGGCGGTTTCCTCGGATTCCAGTGTCTTCTTCCCACCCTCCCCTCTCTCCCCCATCCCACCGTGCTCTTCCGATATCGTACTTACACACTAATATATTACAGCCGATATTGTATAGTGTGTCTACAATCTATATAATCCGTAGAAGCCACACTGCTCGGTAGTTTATTTTAGTTCTGTCTGTTGTAAGAACATAACCGTCGAAGCCCGAACGGCGTAAAACCGTCTCCATTGTTTGTTTTTTTTTTTTTATATTATATACTCGCCGTTAAACCGGTGTACCCTGTTATGTATAGGTAAGGATAACACAATGCAATATAATAACACACACAGCCGGGGCCAAAAGCCGTTTCCAAAACGATTTAAGAAAATAGAGCACAGAAATGTATTATGGGGCATTGGGAACCGGGCGGGTTTTAAGGCGTTTTATATAGGCAATATATAAGAAAAAGAAGGAACTTCTGCGGTTCAATCCTTGAAAATAGGAGATAAGATGGATTATCCGATCTCTCAACTAGACGCCTCGTTACACTAGTAATTTTTATCGCCAAATATATATAATACAAATTAACTTAAAGGCAATAGAACTTCTTTACAATAAATGTTTCTTCCAAATATCAGCTAAATTTTTGCTCCTTGATAAAAAAAAGCCGGAACCGGGAGTCCTGTTTTTACGAGGGCAGCGCGTGAAAATTAATTTATATTAACACTAAAATAACAGAACCGTAAAAAAAATTCTCTTGGACTGTAAGGCATGCATATAATATCGTAATGATTAATTACCGGACGCGAGTTTACGTTTCTGTTCCGGTTTTATCTCTCTTGTCAAACCATTTCTTTTTTCTATGGGGACAGTGTATAACGGCTATTTAACTCTAGGCAAACGCGCTGGGTAAGTTTTTAATTACTGGTGATTTCTGGACGTAGATATAGTATACTATGTGTTTTGGGTTTTATTTTATAGTTCCTTATACCATAATTATTATAATACATTTTATTGCTATAAACCGTATATGAGTACAGACCATTAATTTCGTTACTTATCGCGGTGTAACAATATTTTACGACCTGAGAACCAATTTTTGGGTTAAACATCTCTCGCATAACATTTGCATGTTTTGGTCATGCCCGCAGAACTTTCATGAACATTAATTGTCGACTACGCTCAGTCAGACATAGAGGTGAGACATCCAGTACTTAAACAAAGTGTGTACTTCACACATATTGCAAAACTACAAGATCGCGTCCCGTCGGCACCACGCCGGTTCTCTGCATAAGGAATTTGGTGGTATTTAGAAAAAATTGGTTGATTTAAGTGCCAATCAAGTATTTTACAGTATATCCCGTCTAACATTTATTCCAAGGAACTAATTTAACTAAATGTCTATTAACAAAACATGCATTTAACGAATAACTACGAAATGTTGATTATCTCTTAATTTTTTAGTGTTATTTATTATTGAATGTTAAATGGATTCAAAATAATTTTTTTTTTTTATTGTATTTGTTTATTATTTATTTTATTTAATAAATCGAAGCATATATAACGATATATATAAAATGACTCACATACCTACATTAAAAAAAAACATCTATAATGTATGAGTATTTAAGTTAAAGTAATTAAAATATTACTACAACAGATGTTATATTGAAAATAGATTTAACCGCTAAATAAAAATACACTGTGAGTATAATTATTTTAATATTCCTTATAAAAAATTAAAATAAAATAAACAAAATTGTATGTGTGTACTGTGTACAACGTTGATGGTTATTTATTATAGTCTGCTCCTAAAACGTCAAAGCAGATTAATTTCGATAAAAAAAGATATATTACAATATAGTCGTAATGGGAATTTGTGTTATTTTTTTAATTCGTTAAAATAACATTGCTCGGCTACAGATATCTCAGAACGATTACAAGCTACATGCAAGAAATAGTATACACCGACTGCGGTTGCGTTCAGTGTAATATGTATTTGTTCCATGTTCGTTCCTAATTATTGTGTTAAATATTGTATGAAAAAAAAAACAACAAAAATTGTAAAGACTCGAAAAAACCGAATTAACGACGTGGCGTTTGTATAGTTTTTTAATATCATATAAATCAAAGCGAACAAATTTGATAAATGTGCCTTACCGTACGCGCAGCAATGACCCATGAAACGGACCGGCCTAGAACGCTTAGTATTGCATCTAAAACAAATGGTTTTTAGAATAAACTGAGCGAAAACGCTAGCAATTTGTATACTCACCAGTCACCACGCTTCAGTTCACACACATTGGACACGCCGCTTGAAAGCTCCTTTTCGGTTTGCTACTCATGTCTTATAAATAACGGCAAACGTCATTTTACTTGAAAAGATACGAACAAAAACTATACTTCCTTTATGGCCACGCCCTCTACGTATCGGTACATTCAACTTGGCTTTCTTAAAAAATTATCACATTTAAGGATTTATTTCGGTCAGGCTTTTTTTCGTTTAGTCAAACGTATTTAATTTTTAATTGTACATAGCATGTAAAAAATAAACTTTATTAAAATTAAAGCGAGCTGTCCATAAGCGAATAAGTCCACCGGGATACCCAGCAAATGCCGGTAGGCCCTTTTCTTGGTAGGATTGTTCTATATTTATAATATGCTCATAACATGTATACACATGGACCCAACCAATCGCAATACCTATTAATAAAGCATAATTTTAAATATTTCCTCTGATTCAAAAAAAAAAAATTAAAATTAAATAACTACAGTTATCTATAAATTATTATTAATTAGCTTATAATTTTTTTTTTTTTAATGTATGTTTATATTTATAAATAAGGGATTTACAGTTTTTATATACCCTGTTCGCTGAGAGAGTATGCCAGGTTTGCGCATGTAGACTGAAGACTAAGTAGCAAGACTAAGGCTAGCAGACAGGGCGGACTTCGGGGGGAATGCTAGTCACACTGGGTGCCGCGGGGGATGCGCAGAACGGCTAATTTTCGTCGGGTCGCGGCATGCTCTCTCGGCGAACAGGGTATATGTATTAATAATTACATTTCTAAGGTTTAATACAAAAAATCTTTAATTTTATAATTTCAATTTCAATCGAAAAAAAATGTATGAGGTGTGCATGATAAAAACAATAAAAACAAATACCTTTTGTGTAAGGTGAAGGTGTTTGTAAAAAAATGTCCTATGAGTCGGTCTCGTGTAGCTTCGGCCTAATTTTATATTATATTTTCCCGGTAACAAAAATTTAGCCTACCCGCCTCTGGTGCTGTCTAAAACATAGAAGCGTAGAGCGTAGTAAATTAGATGGTATTTGATTTTTCCCCTGCTGAAATATAGTATTATTAGCTAAAATAGTATGCCATTTATTTGTAGACGTTTTACTGCTGCGCATTTCAATATAATTAATTCAAATAAAACAACGTTAAAAAAACCTTTTTTGGTGGGTTAAAATTTCACTATATATTAGTGGAAAGTATTTTCACCCTCAAACTGTAAGTAAACGTTGCGACAAAAAGAGGAGACTGGACAATTCGCTCTGATGAACCTCTGGTGCTATTAAAGAGCGTGCTGAGATAGAGAGAAAGAACATTCTTTGATAAATTGATCATTATTTTTGCACTCTCCAAACGGCTTTGTTCGTCCGTTGAGAAGATGTAGGCCAAGCGAGAAAAGCCATATCGCAGAGGACTTTCCTCCGCTTTGGCCACCCTTTTTTTTTAAGAGCACCATTATTATTCGGAGAAAAATAAAACTTTAAAAAAAAATAAATAAAGCGAATATTTTCTGCTCGCCGATCAGAGGAGAGTAGTCGCTCGTTAAGTCTGTGCGCCGAGGCGAAAACAAAAATGTTTTTAAACAGACCAGGCGGATCGTCTTAGCACTGGAACAGCAACTGAACAGATGTACAACGTATTAGCCAAGATGAAGTTTGTTCGAATAATTGGATGCCACACAAAAACGAACAAAAAAATGAACAATACTTTTGTAAACAACAGACGGATAAAAGATTCATTGTTATTTTTTATTATTATTTGCATTAAACTACATCCGTGCATCATCAAAATGACACAAAAAAAAACACACTTGGGTCACATATATTCTGTAAAAAAAAAACTGTCATGTATAAAACAATTTTTAGCGTTTAATATTTGGCTTAAGCTAATATATAATTTTCGTAGTGTTTTTTAGAAACTAGACAATGGTATTTTTTTACAGGGGTACAAATAAAATGAAAATTTAACAACAAAAAAATAGTCCTTATTATACTATTTACTGCGTTCGGCACACGGAGTATAAGTATAGTTGTTGTGTGTATGTGGTGTTGCATTGAAGTGTATATTAATCGTTATCATAATATTGTGTTCGACATAATTGTCTCAACGTCCGCTCATCCGCTTCCAAACACATCCGTCAAATTCCTCGTCGTTCAAACTGTATATAAACCGACAACAATCCAACGCGTTTTTCAAGTTCTATCTTTTTGATAACAATGAAAAAATGTGTAATAATAATAATAATAATAATATGTATTATTATTTTAACAAACATAAATATTTTCACACACACGTGGTATCCTATCAACAATAATAATTATCGTATATTATATATCTATATATTATAATTTATATCGTATAAAATCATATACCGTCGCGATGCAATCTAGACTAGACCGTTTATTACATTTATTATATTCTATTATATTTAAATTTATATTATATTAAAGCTAAGCGTTACGTCGTGCTTATAGATGTTTATAGGTACAAGACAAAAAGGTGTTCTTTGTTTTTAATTTTTATATATATATATAGTTATAAGGTCACAGGGAAATGACTTACATGGTCTAAAAGACAATGATGAGAACAAAAAAAAAAAAACACTAAAATAAAAAACGAAAACAAAAAAAACTATCATTATTAACAGGTAGGTAAAAACAAATAAATATATAGAAATATAAGTAGTGTATGTCTATAAACAATAATAATAATAATTCTAGTATTAACACGGTAAACTTTATATATATACTATCGTAATATAATATATATAAATATTGTATATATTTATCGTTATTATTATTATTTAATTATATTAATAACTCTTGAGGGATAATACGCGTTGGATCAGGCGACGATCACGGCGATGCCGGACGTGTCGATGTCGGTCAAGTTGGATTTGATGTCGTTGGTGACCAAAGCGCACTTGGGCGAGGCCTTGCCGCTTACCTCAGCGTTGTGCTTTTGTTCCATTGCGTTCGTTATGATTTTCGTGCCGTCGTCGCACAGCACGGGATTGCCTATGTAAACACAACAAAAAGTCCAGATTATAGGTTACTATATTCACTGCAATAGTCAACGTTTTTTAGTGGCTATAACCAAAATCTGATGATCACTAGTGATCACTAATCATCATAATGTATCGTCAGCCTATTTAGCAAAGGACGTATCTCAAAAAAATCAATTTTCGGTATATTACACTATTTGGATAGATAAAAAAAACTGCGTCTAATAATTGTTACATTTCAGTGTTTTTTTCCGTCAAATGTGTGATAAACAGTAAGCAATTGTTATTGAAATAAATAGGTAGAATAACTTAAACGTTTTCTTCCTTTTAGTGTGAAATTTGGTATTTTGGAGTTATGCTCATTGCTAACTATGCTGATGATGTTATTCGGAAACAACTGCACCAATATACTATATAGTGGTAGTCGACACTCAAGTCTAACTGCCAATCCTGTGACTCACGCAGTAAACATATTACAGCACACGGTAATCGTACTAAATGTGCTAACTGGTGAGTACAGCAACCTAAAATCGACAATTGGACACAGAAACAAAAAAAATGTAGAACGATAACGCGTCGGAGATATTCTGTCTGTGTTTGAACAACAACAACAATAGGTAACAAATTATTATTTTGTTACAACATACAAATCATCGATTATGACGTTCATAATAGTTTAAGCGAAATCATAACGTGAACTTTGTTACGCATTATTTAGTGAATATGACGTAATTTTATTCGATTATTTTTATTTTTTACTATTTAAGTATTAATTAGAAAACGTATTTAATAGATACAGGACCAAACTATTTAGCGTTTACAATCATATTTTACATTGTCTACAACCCTTCCGTATCTCTACCGCCGTAAACGATCAGTATATCAAATTACTATCTGCATATCTTATCATGTTCGATTGCGATAATTGATACAACCCAACCGCAGACCTGGCGTCTCGACCAAGTCATATTTACCTTCTAGATAAATTCTCAACGTGCTGTTAACTCCGTGCAATTTGCACTGAGTCATGTCGACCAATTCTTCGCGTATGGTCATTATACTGTTGTACTCGAGATCAGCGTGGCAGAGCACCGGATATCCGTGGAATTCTTTGTGCAGGCTGGTCAAAGAGTTGTACGATGCCACCAACGTCTCGAGAGCCGGTAAATGGATCTATAAAACCAATATCATTACCTACAGTCCAGCGGGCCGGGCATACAGCTACGTACCTGAGACGAGTCCGGGAGCACGTGCAAAAGGTTATGCGAAACGTCCAGCACCTCCAAATTCAATCCTGTCAGGTCGTACGGCGACAATTCGGTGAACTTATTGTGACTTATGTTGAGTTTCTTGAGCGTCGTGATGCCCAACAACGTGCCGCCCAGCGACGTCAACTCGTTTTGGTCCAACTTCAAGTGTTCCGCGCCAGTGACCGGTTCACTCAGTATCTGCAAACGAGTAACACGGATAAGTAATCATGACAAATCGGAGACGCGCTATTTTGTGGAGAAGACACTCTCGGCCGGACGGACTGACCTCGGTGTGTCCGGTGAGTTTTGATATTTTATTGTTCGACAAATCGACCGTCTTGAGATCCTTGAGCCCTTTGATTTCGGCAAACGAAAATTCCGTCATGTTGTTATGGGACAAGTTCAGTTCGGACAGCATGCTGAGGGGCAACAGCGACTTGTTCAGGTGCCTGATGCGATTGTGGCTCAGCTCCAACGTGGCCATCTGCGTGGCCTCCAGAAACTCGTTTGGTGACAACTGCAATGGTCGTTGTTATGATGAATACCTACATTATTATTAAACTGCAAAATCACGTACGCCAAAATCATAACGTCTTACCTCTTCTATCATGTTGCCGGCCAACTCGAGCCATACGAGCTTTTTCGACCTAGACAGGGTGTTGTTTAAACTCGTCAGTTGGTTGCCAGAACAGTACAAATATCTCAACGCTTTCAGACTGCTCATTTCGGGGGGCAGGTGGTCCAGCATGTTGTTGGTAACCGCCAATGACATCAGGCTGTCGTTATCCTCTGGCAGTTCGCCGTCCAGAGACCTTATCCGGTTGTTGTCCAGGAACAGCCATTCCAAACCCTTTTGATTCCTATTCCAACAAACGACAATAGCGATAATAGTACCTATAATAATTTTCTAACGCTGCGATCGATTACAATACATGAATAACAGTCCTTGAGAAATTCACTGTAAACTATATTATGTTACAATAATGTATGATACCGGACGTTATCGTTATTGTCTGCTGTTAGCGCTGTAGAAGGCAACATAGTCGCCGAAAGACGTATTCGTGAATATTTTTGTGGATAGAGTTTTTATTTAATAATAATAAATTACACAAGCGACTGTAACTTTAATTTTATCAGTGATGTGTTTTCATTATCAACATGAACTTTGTTTCGAACCGCGGCGTTATTGACATTTTAAAATGGCAGGAGAGACATTGAAATACTTCTACGTTAACGGTAAAAAAAAAATGTAAACTGTCAAACATCTTACGGAAAACGATTTATCCTATCTATTTCTAATAGATTATATATTTACCTTAGATTCCCGTTCAGTTCGGTCAAGTTGTTGGCGGTTAGCTGCACTTTTCTCAAAGTCGTTGGGAACGATCCGTTAGTGATATCGGTCAAGTTATTTGTGGCCATCACGAACGTGTTCATCAGCGACAGACTCTGCAAGTACATGACACCCGGTAAATTAATGTAATACTTCTTGAAACCGATCGACGAAATTATAGGGGTAAGGTATATAAATATATTGACTATAAATTGTACGGTATGTAACGCACTTGTGCCTTTCATACCAAAAGTTCTCGATTCGTTTTTTTGAAATGATTACTTATTATCAAAACAATCATTGGATGGATCATACCTTGTTTAGCCTACCTTGAAACTCCAGCCTTAAAATTAAATATAATATATTTCTGCCTAATCATGGAACGGAAAACATTTTAAAGCGATAAAAAAAACTGTTCTGAAATAGTGAAAAGTGTTCAGCCGGAACCTCGGAGCCTTTGTTTTCTTACGTACCTGAAAATCTCCAGACGTGACGCTGTGTATGGAATTCCTGGCTAAGTTGAGCACCTCAATGCTGGTCATGTGCTTGAATATCTGAGTGGGCACCTCGGTCAGTCGATTGTCTGACAAGTATAGTATTCTTATCCTCTTCATACCAATGAACGCTTGTTCCGGCAGGGAACTGAAAAATTATTATGAATATTATACAAGCCATTATGGCCTTAACGTGTTACTGTAAAGTAAAATTGTCTAGGGGATAGGTACAAGAACACAATTTTAAATTATTTGTACAAGCGTTCGAGTTTTTTTTTTTTGTAAAATTACTAATAATTTACTTACAACCTGTCCTCATTTTAATGTCAAAACGTGGGAATTTTCAGTGAATAAGTAACTCTTTAAAAACGGCTAGTCTAAACGTTGTTTATCATTTAACTGCAATCATTTGTACAAGTAATTTTCATAATTGAACCTAATCGTTGAAAAAAACTTAAACATTATCTGCTCCATTACGGTTAATTTTTTATAGAGATGAAGTGTACTTCTTAATAGCCGTTAATGGAGAGAATGCGATTTTTCGCGCGACTAATTATGTTCGTTATCAAAAAAATAACAACTCTACTGTGCTATGAACGATTTTCATTGTAAAATGGAATTTTATCCGCCAGAAACACGTTGTTAATGCGCACAAATAGAAAGACTCTTAATGACCTCAATAGAAAGAACGCAACGTCGACGCATCAGCTAATGAATTCAATCACATACAAATAACAGAGGTAATAATAATTGTGTATATGAAATTCATGCGAGCAAACACGTCTGAATAATAATTGATCTCATATAGACGTATACGATTTGATAAAATATCTTAAAAATACAACTATAGGAAAGATAAAAGTTAAAAAAACAAGATTGCCTAGTTTGATACGATAAGAATACATTTAAGGTTTAACTGTGACTCATCAAAATATGACTAATATAACTTATTTTCAAATAAAACTTTAACTGAATTAATGCCTAATGTGATATTAGCAATGATAAACGGATTTGAATATTTGATTGCTTCGTTTTTGATCAAATAACAGAGGCCCCTCATTTCATTTATTTGTTATTTATCGAGGCACTAATTATTGAACATAGATTACACGTAAATCATATTTTTGATCAATTCTTTATTTTGTCGTTAATTATAGTTTATAAGTTTACACACCACTCCTAATGATTGTACAATCTATCAAACTTATACCCCTCTTCCTCCTCCTCCTCCCAACACAAAAACTAATATCATAATCTATTTTTTGTTCTTTAATTTTATATACTATTAGTTAAACGACAGCTACTGTTTGCTAATTTAAAAATGTATAGTGTACTTAAAGGAAGTCGATCCCATAATTTAAATCCAAGAAAATATATTATACTTATATCAACATAACAAATCGTTTTTTTTTTATACCAATTAAGTTATAAGTACAACAAATGATTAAACCCCTACTAAATTATAATAAGTTGTATTGGAAATTACAATCATAAGATTTACGATTTTAACTATACTTAATAAAGTTTAGCACGTTAACATAGCCAGCTATTTTGAAACGGTACCAATCAATGTTAGTTAAAATAAAATAATGTATTAAAGTGCAAATTAAGGTAAAAATAATTATATGATCATATATAATAGGATTCTGAGACCATACTAAATTAAATACAAACTACAAATTGGAAGCCCTAATTTAAATTACTTTGAAAAACATGAAGACGTCCAGCTTCCAGTATCGTCCTTTATAATCTACCCCTAATATTTGTTATTTAATTTTCAAATAAACCCCATATTCTAAAGGCCACACAATACATCTTCGTAATAGAAGTTGACTGCCTCCAGATCACATATCTCTGCTTATTTGGAGGGGAGGAGCGCTAGACATGAGGCACTCATACGTTAGGAATGATCGCTTAACTGTCGATAGGGGGGGGGGGGGTATTTTCCATCAACATTTTTTTTTCATTATTATTATTTTCCAACCATCAACGAGTCGAACAATTGTATCCGCTTATTGTACAACTAAATTAACAACAAAAGCAAAACATTTTTTGGGGGTAGAGGGATCCCAACCACCTTCCCGCCTAGTTGCGCGCACCGAAGTAGGATATATTAGGGATATCGTTTGACAAGGATTTCTGATTATTTGTTATCGATTACGTTACATTGAAAGCCAGTGACGTCTAAGCGATGGGGATAACCCGGCTCACCTGAGATTGTTGTTGTTGAGCTTGAGGTCGACAATGGGAATTCCCAGCTCGTTGAACTTCCTGGAATCGAGGTCGTGCAGTTCCGAGTACTCGATGTTGAGCACGTAGTCGAACAGTGCGTCGAACTTGTTCTGCAGGGCTTCGATGACGCTCTGGAACGACTCCATTTTCTGGCACACCACCAGGATCCGGGGCTTGACCATGGCCGTGTAGTAGCTGCACGTGCATGGCGATATGCTCCGCCGGACTGAACAGTGTAGCGGCGTGTCGTCCAGCGAGAACGGGCCACAAACGCCGCCCACGATCAGCGTGGTGGCGGTTACGAGGCACACGTATAACCAGTTCATGGCGACCTGCGCTGCGACCCGACTACGTGAAGTGGTCGCGAATGTCAGCACACAACACTTTTCTGAAGCTCTGAAGGTTCGAAGCTCGCGGCGGTCGCAAGACTTTCACGTCGCCTACGGTATCGCCGACTGAGTATCGACGGAAATGAGCGACAGAGGCAGAGAGATTGAAGAGATGAAGAGGGAGGCTGCGTATTAAAATACGTGGTCGTTGCTGCAGCTATACAGACGATGCTGTGGGTACTGCTGCTGCTGGTGCTGGTGCTTGGGATGCTGATGTTACTGATGGTGACGTCACGGTTGTACCCCGCATCCCTGCTGCAACACACGAGGCACCAATTCATTGAGTTGTTAATTAACAGTCGACAAGAACAGTTTTTATTATTATTACTATTATTTCTACAATATTATATTGATCGATTTGACACCGACGGCGACGCTAGCCCGTCGGGTCAAGTACACGACAACCGTCACTCCTATTCGTCGGCCCCGCAGAGCACAACCTCTCCACGCACGTCGGATCGCTTGAATACAAACGTCTTGCTCTTAACACACACCGCACACGCACTATACTAATTTCTTTTGCCCCTTCTCTGCCCTCTCCGTCACAACAGACGCGCTCGTGTGATAAACAATACCCGGTAAGTCTGGCCAAGATGACGGCGTAACCCGCCGGGGAGTTATCGTAGCATTGCGTGACGCGCGCCGGACGGATGTTGTGAAAAAACTGCGAAAAAAATGTGTATTGTACTATTTGCAAGCAGAAACGTCGTGTTGCCGCACCGGCAGTCGACTTTTCTATCTTTAGATAAAATTAACCTAGCATATCATCGAGATCCCGTTGATCCCGATTATTTTTCGCATAGACACAGCTGTGTTTTACCCTAAACGCCAGTTGCCGAGCGTAGCAAATTATTATCGTTTTCAGTTTTCCTAGTTTGTGGTTTTTCCTTAACTATCATTCCTAAACGTCACGATAACGGTTTTTCAAAACCTACACGGTTTATTTTAACGTCGGCTAAATGAATATATGGTTAAATTTTGGCACACAAATAAATTATATTATTATTAATTAATAAAAATAAATAGTTTTAACACAAAATTGTACATACTAATGTTGAATAAGACTTCAAATAGTTGATGTAACGGTAATTTAAACTTCAAACAATTTATTGACTATTGTTGTTGTCTACGGTCAAGCGAACCCAAAAAGTGTTCGGCATTAGTTAATAAATAGAGAGCACACGACCAATTGAATAACGCAATTCCAACCAACATAAGAACATATTATTATTGTCTAATGACAATAACGTATGTGTGTAAATCTTTATATATGAGTATTAATATAAATCTCAATTGCTACACTGCAGAAGCCAGAAATGCTGATTATGCAATTACTGATTGACAAACATAAAGAATATTTATATCCATAGAATTATAGAAATAATTGTGTTATCTTATTAAATGTTAAGCGATTATAATCAAATTTCACATTTCAAATGCTGACGAGTTTCATTTGGATTATTTAATATATGTATTATTATCCGCTGATTGACGTCATATGAGACGCATAGCGCCAGAAAAAAATTAATTTGATTTTATTACATCAAATATTTTAGCATAATATAATATTTCCAAACCAAACTGACAAAAACCTAAAAATAAACTTATCCACTAAGTGGCCGAACTTTTTTTTTTTTTTTTAATGCTATTTTAATAATAGCATACAAAAAATTATAATTTAATTCTTCTTGAAATAATGGATGCGGGGTTAAGATTTTCTAACTCTATCAACTAAATACATGTTATTTTAAACCTTCACTGCATGTATGCATTAGATTATTTGTATTGATATCGTTTATTGATTATGGGTAATATTTATTTTGTTACGATTTTTATCATTATAGTGTACTGTGTAGTAAATCCATAATAATGGCATACTACATATTTTTATTATAATATCAATCATTCCTAATTTTTACATAAAATTAAAAAAATTCATTAAGGGTTAAGCAACTTTAAGTATAATGAAGACTAATGAAAAATTAGTAAATATAGTTACAAAAGTAGGTTAGCTTAACTATTTGAGACCCATCACTGACGATGAGACTGAAGAATCTCAAATAATTTAGTTAACGTACCTTTATATCTATTTACTAATTTTCCATTAGTCTTCATAATACATGTTAAAAAAAACCATGTATTTCCAGAGAATAGATATAGTTAAGAATTAAATTCTAGTGGCCACCGTTTAGCCGACGCAACAATGCTTGAAACCATTGCACTGACTCAATCCAATTGCCACACCATTCCCCAAATGATAATTACTGCAAAAGCATAAAATATCAGATAAAGTTGTCAGAACAGGCAACAACATAAGTGTTTTTTTTTTTTTACATTTTTTAATAACGAAACTATTTTGTATTCGCGTATTCGCGAGTTCTCATACTATTTGCTAAACCAAGGCTATAGCCGTTTATGAATATTGGACTATGTCATTTACACAAATTGTGTATTCATCGACGTTTACCAACCATGTTGTGATAATTTCATTACGTATGGAAACATAATATTTTATTTGCCTATAATGTTTACTGATAATTGTAAAATACATGCAAATAGGTATTGGTCTTGCGTTAATCGATTCTCGTGAGTCGTGATAGAATCACGAGACTATACTTATTATTTTGTATTTTATACATTTTCAATGGCAATTAGTTATTACTGATGTTTACACGCACAGTCAAAACCGAATTAGTGTAATGTGTGGACTATGTATGTCCTCTATGTACTTATTTTATATGCAAGCATTCAACATGTATACATCGATTAATCGAACTTAATAATGCGCTTACACGCTTGGCATAACCCGTTAATTGCACACTTTTAGAGTTAGAAAATGTACCTGAACATTTTGTTAATCTGGTTTAATCAGTTTTACTTAATTCGGGTCATATTTGAGTTTTAAGATCTTACGCCTTAATCTACTGGGTGTGTGGCATCTTTTTAAGGGGATATCCATTTTACAGTTTTATGTAACACTGCAAACGGGTAAAATCGATGCAATGTCAATAAATTCATTCGCGGTTAAATGGGTGTGATAGCAAAAAAAAAACTATTAACGGTAGCACAACGGTCGTTTAGAGTTACGTAAAGGTCATAATACTTTAGGTGTTTAATGTTCGCATAATGAAAAAATAATTAAAATTAAATTGAGTGTATTTTTAAAATCGTTCGCCCTGACCTATTACACATATGATATTATCAATACTTATCACCAGTACTTGTTATTGTGTTTCGTTGGAATATTTGTCCGCTTGCCATGTGTAGAGTGTAAACTGTACAGTGTACACATATCCATCGTCCCGACGACCGAAACGGATTTGAGGCTCGTTTTAGGGGAAGCAGACTGGATATACCCATAATTGATATATAAAGTACTATTACAAATTTTAACGACGGTCGACACTTATTATAAAAATGATTATTGAACATAATTGGCCACTTGTTTCTTTGAACATACGACAAAAAAAGTCTTGTCATTATGAGGCTTTGAATTTGTTCGTACTTCCCATTTGAGAGAACGTCTCAATAAAAACAGATTATATAAAATGTTAACCATTTATTATACGGTCTAACATTAGATAGGTCTAACAAATTCGATTTTTTATACATAAATAAATTACAATATATTTATACTACCCACAAATTATTTTACTACTAATTTCTTCATAAATCAAACAACGAAAGATTAAAGAGCTATACATGCTAGTCAAAACTTAAAAAATTCAGTACTTTCCTTTTAAATTCGAAAAACAACATAAAAGTAAATATATTTTCATCTAAAAAAGCCTAACAGAAAAATAGTCAAAATAGTTCTTAATTTTTCTAAGGCACTTACTCTTTAGGTATATTTAAGGATACCAGTATGAAATATTTAACGTGCAAGCTTAACTTTGAAATATTTTATTTTTGAACATTTAAAAAGCCGTAAAATATTTTAATACAATTTTGTAATTTATTTTTTGAAAGAATAATTTACAGTTGACAAATGAACTCAACTGTCCGACAGATCAAACTTTCAAAAAAAAAACTCGTTTTAATTTTATTTTTCAATCATTTTTAATGGCAATATCTAACTTACGTTTTACACTTAAGTTTAAGAGGGCGTCGCACCAGTGATTTTCAGTGGTAACAACATGTTTAAGCAGACTGAAAATAACTCGCTTAGTTTTGGTTTTAGAGTAAAAGCACCCATTATAAAATTAAAAGAAAACAATATTCCGGAGGGCAAGACGGTTTTAAAAAAAATTCATTTTTTGAAAAGTTACAGTCATTAAAAAATGTTAAAATAGTCGTTATTTCTAAACTATGTATGTATTGAGCGTTATACTTGGAATAATGAAAAAAACGCACCGTTTTGCCCTCCGGAATATTGTTCTCTTTTAATTTTATAATGGGTGCTTTTACTCTAAAACCAAAATTAAGCGAGTTATTTTCAGTCTGCTTAAACATGTAGAGATGAAAAAACATTTTTAAATCGCTTTCAAGGATGCTGTGATAGTCCGAAAAATAAATTTACTACCAAAATAGAGTCTTAGTTATTGAACTAATAATTACACATCACAGTTTAACCTCTAAATTAAGATTTTGTGAAAAATTGCCTATACTTTACTCCTTAAAAATAGGCGGTGCGACGCCCTCTTAAGTAAAGTACTATGTTTAAATAATACAAATATTTTTAATCTCTGACAAAGATGCTGTGGTTGACCGAAAATAAATACTTTACCAAAAAAAGAATTCTAATTGCTAAACTAATAATTACACATTACAATTTAAGCTTTAAATTAAAATTTTTCAAAAAAATTGTCTATACCTAACTTTAATAAATAGGGGCATATATTTTTTCATAAATCAATTTTACATTTCAATAACATCATGAAAATATTTTTTGGTTACCAAGTTTTATTTCTTAATTTTATACGTTAAAATAAAATAAATATTTTTTTTTTCGCTATATGAAAATATTGTACACGTTATTTAACATTTAGTTATTATCTATTTTCTAGGTTTTTTCTATTGTATATCATCAATTAAAAGTATTATAAAACACACAGGTCAATAATTATAATTAACGTCAACGATAATATTTAGGTACAGGTAGTAAGATTAAAAATTATTATTATTGTTCTAATTCGAATTATAATTTGTGTTATCATCAACGTGAATGAAAAAATTCCGGGAAAATTGTATTCTCTACATTGGACTTGCTGCCAATAAACTTTGTTTTTTTTTTATAACTATGATAATGTGTTTTTACGTTCATTAGTCCGCATTAAATCATATTAGGTCGTTTACAATCTAACCGAGTGTAATAAAATGAGTTAATTAAACTATTAACCGGCCACGCACATTTTCCCTAAAAAGCTAGATAATTCCTAGCAGAGGAAATATAATATAATTACAACAATATTATTATTATTATTTGTACTATTATGATTTTATTCTTGAAACCACATAGAGTTAAATAATTTTTAAAATAATAGATGTTTTTAAAATAAATAACAACATCAGCTATTCAACAAAAGGCGAACAAAAAAATTATATCACGAGTCGGATGAACTTACCATTCTAAAAACGACGATAATGTCTGTCCGTAACAAGACCTGTGCATTATTCGAAATAATCATCTATAACTATCTATATTATCTGTAGATAACACATTATTCAAGTAAAAGTTATCTGAATAATTCCAAACATAATTATTCGAATTATTTTTAAAAATATTATTTAAATAATTTGTAAGTGCTTTTTTCAAGTAGTTATAGTTTAAAACTATATTTTTTTAAATCGAATGTATAACGTAATATCTATCTACTATATTTAAAATTTATATAAAACCAATATATAATACATAGAAAGACAATTTTTTATTCAAATGAATTGTGAAATAATTATTCGAATAAGAATTTGCACAACTCTGTCCATAACATGATATTATGGATGTCCTAAGGATACCATGTATTTGCACGGGTCGCTGGGGTCAAAATGATCAAGGTAAATACGAATATTTTTTTGTTATAATTAACTATTATTATTATCATTGCACATGGATAATACATTCTGTACACAATGTATTAAAATCACTTTGGTCTTGAAAAAATGTTTAAACAAGTGTATCTATGTTTACAAGTAGATCGAATAAATAAAGTACTTTCTGACACTCTTTTTTAGAGCCTAAATATAAAAATATAAAAAAAGGTGGTTTATGAGTACATTAGTATATAAATATAAAATATATAATTTACAATGTCTTTAATATCTATTGATTTACAAATATATTATCATTAACGTTGAGTTTGCATACTACTCATTACTGATGTACTGATATTAAATAAGAAACATTTTGTTTGGACCCATAAATATTAACTCAATCAAATAATAGTTCGAAGTGGACTGATTTGCAAGAATATGACAAGTACTATAACAACATTTAAGTTTTCCATTGCAATAAACCGACAATATCAATACTTTGATGAAGGCTTATATTATTTCGTGATGATGTCATGTTTTCAATTATAACGAAAAAAAATCTTGTATAATAATAGTACCCCGTACAGATATTAATCAATTATAACCGTGAACTTATTATTTATTAAGAAAACGCCAAACCACCATAGTATTAATATTAAGGAGTAATGCATTGGTGTTTTTTTTTAAATTTTTTAATACAATAATAAAGGATTCCTTATTGGTTGTTATTTTTTTTTTGTCAGACTATCACAATCATGAGTAATTTCTATAGCGAAAATCACAACTATTTTCCATAAGATCATTTTTCGTAGTTGAAATATAGTAAAGTATTAAGTGAATAAAAGGCAAAAAAGATTTTACCATTTGAAAGATGAAGATGTCCAATAATGTTTTGTTGGAAATAATACTAAAAAGCGAGCATTACAGCTTATCAAATATATTATAATATATAGTAATATTTATTTGCATATAAGATAGAAAATAATTACAATTATCGTAATCGAATTCCAACTAAACAGAGTAGAACTTATCACCTTTCAAACTGTACTATTATATGTGTTTATGTTTATTGAAGATTTCGTTGCACTTAAAATACAAACGTATTATTTTCGCTACAAAATCATGTGTTTATTAAAATTGTACTTTTCTCAAACGTATTTAGAATACAATTGTAAAATGTAAAAACAAAATTAAAATATTTCCTCATCTTCTTCCTTTGTAACTAAAATTTAAATAAAAACAATTATTTTTATGAAAACCAACAGGGAATAAATTAATGATAAAAAAAAACATAAGCGTAATTAGTAGTCGGGACTTGTGTTTATTACAAAAACCAATTTGTATCGAAAATAAAACTAAGAAAACAAAGTAATAATTGGTTTACAAAAAAGACCAACAACGTCCTTAATAGGATTTTATACCACTACCTAGCTTTTGGAGAGCAAAATGCTACCGGAGTTGCACGTTTCTGTAAAACTGAGCAATTGGGTATAGCTTATGTTAACTAATTTTCAAATTAAAATTTTTACAGAAGCGGTTTTTCGATAAAATATTTTTTAATGAATACAGGGTGATTCTTTTATCATGAACCAGTCAATATCTCACTGGATTTAATTAATAATTGAATTTTTTTTTCCATAATGTTTTTATACAATGTGATCTCAATTTCTCACAATTTTTTTTGTTTTTACTCCCCTCCTAACTTGGTTTTTTTGATAGCAATTTTTGAAACTTAAATGGTAATGGATACATTTCATTAACTTTTTAAATTGAGAATAATGTACTTAAAATTTTGACTGGTCGATAACTAGTTTCGGACAACTATTTTTAAAGTTAAAATAGTTTAAAAGTTAGGATGGGAGGGTGAAGTGCGGTTAGAAAATGCGCGCAGATAAAAATAATACTACACTCCGCCTTTCCTCCTGCCCAAAACTTGAAACTTCAATAACTTCAAAAATAGTTATCCAAAACTGGCATTACCATTTAAATTTCAAAAGTTGCTATCAAAAAAACCAAGTTGAGAGGAGAGTAAAAACCAAAAAAAAAATAGGAGAAATTGAGATCACATTGTATAAAAACATTATGGAAAAAAATTATTAATTAAACCCAGTGAGATATTGACAGATTCGTGGTAAAAGAATCACCCTGTATAAATAGTTTTGGTAAATCCAAAATTCAATTTCCTCAGCAGTATAATATTATCGAAAACACCTATCTCAACAATTGTAGACTAACTTTTCCTTTTTAGTTTTGTTAGTGGCTAAAACTGCTCTGTTTTGCAGAAACTTACACCTCCCGAGACAAAACTACCGGACAACTACGCTATAAAATATATAAATTGATCCTTACGTATCGTGTACGAAACATAAGTATCAATATAAATTTTAGCTTCAAGTCAAATTTTATCGAACAATTTTCTACATCTTGTTCTTCTTAATAAAATAGACGGAATGAAGTGTTCTTAACATTCATGATAGTTATTAGTACAGCGTGAGTGTATTTTTGTTCAGATGGCAATACTAAACAAGTCCAAAGAGAAAAACATGGCGTACTACATTGCAAATCGCACAATTATTAATCTACAGAATTCGCTTAGTCGCAAGGAGCTGCACAAAGGACGCACGGCCAAAGTTACATAATCAAACGCTCCCTAACAAGCTGCCCAACGACCACCGGTCGATTTCGATTATTTTTTTCTTATGTCTTATCTCGTGTGTGTGTGCAATTTTTTGTTTAGAAAAACTTTGCATGACGTTATGATAACAGCACCCGACATTCAAGACTTTCAACGGATTGTTATGATATCGGCGTAATCGCGCCAAGTCAGTACGGCAACTCGATAGGTAAATTGTTGTACACTATTATTAAATAATAATATAAAACCACGGAGGCGATGAAACGGACGGATGTGTAAACGCCGCTTCTAGATCACGTGCTAAAAACAGAGGAAAAATTCATTTGTTATCGCGTCGAGGCAACCTGATCGGTACCTATAATATTATTGTAGTACCTATACTAATAGTTATCATAATAATATTATATATTATAATAGCTAAAGCGAGCGGTGGGTAACAACAAAATATTATACTTGGAAACACTGACCGTTGCGCATAAAGTAGCAATAATTAAATACGGTTGTTGTAACCGTATATCTCATTAATGTTTTTTTTTTATTATTATTAAAGTAAGTAAAACCGAAAATGTTGTATTATACTGCAAATGGGAATCGTATACATGATGTACAGGCACGTGTCGAAGTGCCTGTTGAAATCGTGCCGTTTAATAACCGTCAAAACTCAAAAGTGTAATTAGTATAAATTGTTGACTATTATAATTTGAAAATAATAACGAATTTCCAAACTTACTGCACGTCATTCGGTTGCGGCGGCGACGGCCGCGGTGGTGGCGATGATGTACGGCCAAGGGGGAAAAAGCGAGTTCCCTGTTCGGATCCGTTGCCCCTCAAATCTAGGTCCGCCGACGAGGGTAGAGGGGGCTCTTCGGTTGTATTCGAAAGACGTTTAAACGATTTAAAAGTACCCTTAGTCTACACTATCAACGGGTAGACGATATATAATCTATATACATATAGATACACTGGAAAATCGCGGCCGCTGCTGATAGGTACTACTAGATACGGTACTGTCAAGCTAACCGATTAACGCAACGACAACAATACCGAACGAAAATAAAACCACGGCACGCACTACATATATTTGACGTTGTAATGATTTATATATATTTTTTTTTAATAATCGGTTACATCAAGTCGGTTTGCATGTACAACTATTGACCGTGTGCGGTAACAATTTGAACGTTGAACGCGCGCGGCAAATGATATGTAACGACTGACCGCGCGACCGGCGGCACCAAAGGAAGCGACCGCTAAGATGAGCCAACCGTTAACGCTAACCGAAAACGGCGCGGACCCAAGAGAGGGAGACGACACATAGACACATACACACGAGATTACCATGTACAGGGTGATACCAGACGTGATACATTTTGCACCAAGCCCCGGTCCCGTTTCGTTTCTACGGGTCGTCGTGCCATGCAAAAGGATTCGATCTCACAGCCAAAGTGTGGTCGAGTATGGTCACAAGTTTCACTTGGCCTGCAATAGCTGGAGAGAATCGACATACACCGTTCGTTGATGGACGGCAAATTCGATAACTATCTAAATTCAGCAATTCTTCTCGACACGGGCAAACCGGGTAAACAGTATAGGCAACAATTTTAACGCTCAATAAAATTAATATTTCTAAAAGATACATCAGTGGACACTTTTACGTTCCAGCGGGACTTCAGAAATCCACGATGGTCTGCGGCAATACGACCACCCTGTAAAGTACGCAGCGGCAATAATAATACAGATTTTATTATACAATAATGTTTTATACCGTCTTGTGTGTAGAGATAACGCGCAGCCTATTATGCACGTATACGGGATGTGCGTTTGATCACAAACATAATAAATATTATATTATTGTTATTATTATTCTCTTTTCATTCTCAATTATTATTGTAATAACAACAACGGTCAACGTGAAACTTAACTGAAAACCGCCACCGCAGTAAAACGACATAATATTGTTATGATTTCTTTAAAATTAAAAAACTATTAACAAATTAATAAAAAATTGTACATGAAAACGACGGATTTAATTTGGCATATTTCCATAAGACAGTACAAACATCTCTGGACATGTTTGTTCAATAAAGGCTTAACCTCTATAACAAATAGGCGACGTCCTCTAAAGCGATCATACAGCTATCTAAAAGGAAATGTTTACATATTATTTGATGTATTTTTATTTATAACGTTCCCACAAGTAAGTAGTTCAAACTTAGTATGCAAAAATCGATTAAAAGGTTTGGAAACGAAAGGCTGATATGATAATTATTTATAATATAGAGTATGGACATTTTGTCACATAGACAATGGATTTTTTTCATAGGGAACTCTTACTCCATAATAAACCCTGTTTTTATTCTCTAAACAAAATGACGATCATGCATGTGCAATTAACTACATTTTATTTAAATCCATGATTTTTATTAAACCCTAGTTATATAACAGAATTGTTTGTATAATTGTCGAATAAGTGTAGGTATAATTTGTTTTTATCAATTTAAATTTTTTCCTTAAAGAAAAAAAATTGTACAACAAAAAAAACCATGCCTTTCATGTCCTAACCGATGTTTACATCTATATGGTGTCACCCCGGTTCGCCGACAATCAGTTTTAAATGAAAAGCTTTTTGAGTATATAATGTTTGTTAGTAAGCCAGACGTTGTATAAAATCATTTAGAATCTTATTCTAAGGAAATTTACAGGTTAATAAAGGCATGGCAGTATCGTTTTTAGAACTTGAAGAAGTAAACAGACGAATTTTAGTTATTCCATTTTCAAATGCTACAAGTGAAAAAAGCTCAATGGCGCCGCAAGATGGGGGCTATGGAAGTTCAATTTTTTTAGAAAAAACTGATTGGTAGCTCACATTTTTTTAAAGCCTGAACGTTTTTAAAAAAAATTGAAATATCCTAGTCCAGCCCCCTCAACTTTCGTCAATTTTAAAACTGTTGATAGTTTTCAACTATGAGGAGAATGCTTTTCTATCAATCAAAATATTTTAGTATTATTAAATATTTAAATGTTTTTTTTTACTGTGTTACTTATAATCCGGTTTGCGTGTAGGTGAAAAAAGTTGTCAGCAAAACGCTTGTCGGCAAACCCAGCCTAAATCATCTATTTATATATTTATTTATTATATGATAACTGGCAATCAGTAACTAGTGTAAAAAACAAATATCAAACGTAAATTAATAATATTAATATGACTGCCCTGATTATCAATAATAATAAATAGGTATATTACAATTTTTTGAATAATAAAATAAATTTTTAATTTATTGAATTTTCACTGAATATAACTTTGATATGTTAACTACTATAAACTTATAATATTGCTCTTAAAATTGATTAGGGTTTATTAAGTTTAAAACATTATGTTCTAAACGAGACATTACAAAATTATTGAAAGTAATACTTAATACACAACTTTATAATCTAGTCTAAATAATTAAAAATAAATTTATTTACTAAATGGTTATAAAATAAGATAATATTTCTTATGTCAAAAACATTAAAAAATAATTATTGTACTTACTTTATTAAAACTTAAGAGAGCGTTTCACCTGTCACTACTGTTCTTTGGAGTGCAAAACATGTCAGGATGCATGTTTCTAAATTCTGAAAAGCTATTACCTGAGTATTTTTTTAAATTTCTTCTATTTTACATACCATAGTTTTATAAAAAAAAAGATGGAAACTCTGGCCAAGTCTAAATATCTATGGAAGATCAATTGCAATTTCTATTATTGTAGGATTTAAAATATGTGCCGATTATTGACGAATGACGAAATTCATAATTACTAATTACAATAGAACACAAAATTATTTCATAGAAATTAATAGGTAAATGATTTAAAATATGAGATTCACACTGTAGGTCACTTTGATCTGATTAAAAATTATTAATTGGGATGTTATACTGTAATATTGAGCTAAAATAGAAAATTATTATCATGAAAATTGCCTTTTTTAAATATACATTAATACCCGAATGTTTTCTATTAAAATCGCAATTAAACCTACATCCAGTCTAATTGTTTCATATACCAGACTATAGAACCGAATCCTATACTACGCAGAAATTACTTAATTATAAGAGTCTAAAAATTGATATAGTAGAATCTTCGCATTAAATAAACCTAACACCAAGCATGTTTTAAAACTTTAAAATACTACACTTAAAATAGTTCTAAAATCGATCAAGGTATTCTTTTCAGTAAATCTTATCAGTTCACCCATATGGGGTAAAAACATTATTTCTCTTTTTTTGTGGCTAAAAATTAAACTGAAGTTATATCTGGCATGTAAGCACTAAGCATATATTTTCTTAAATGTTTACAATAGGGCTCTGTATACGGTCATGTACTCCGATCACACTGTAATAGTGTTAATTTTTTTCATTGGTTTCATTTTTTTTATATCGCAACGTTCAACAATTCAAAAAGGTTCTTATTATTTATACTGAAAAAAAGTAATCCTGGTGGATTAGATACTTACTTGAATACTTGTTCATAGACTTAACCCCTAAATAACATACACAAAAACAGGCAATTTGAAATGATTGAGCAGAAATAATTAGGTCAGTAGTAAATTACACGAAATTTTTTTCTCTCTGATACGGTCTAAAGTAAATTGTGCTGAATTCGACTTTTTATCCGAGATGTAAAACGTACAGTGTTATCCAAATATTATATTACAAAGTTCAATAAAATAATTGTGTGTTTTATGATAAAAAAATGTTTCGAAAGGTATTTTTTTAAATATAATTGTTAAAAGTCAAACAGCAAATATTTTAATTATCTATTAGAAGCAATATGATTTAATGGAAACAATGAATGGCCGTTAACCAGCTTTCAATAAGTAATTTTTTTAGTTATTAGCATTTAAAGTTTAGGCAAGTAAGGAAGTAGGGTTGATTTGTGCAGTCAGCAGTCTATACTTTTAAATGCTTATAACACAAAAAGTATGTATCTAAAACTGTTATCAAGTTTATAATATTAACTACTCATTATTTTCATTACTCATTAGGTATCTATATCAGTTTGCTTTTCATTGGTAAACCGATTAGATACATAGGTAGATATTTTCTTTTAAAAATCACCATTTAAGATACAATTTTTGATCATTATAATAAGGATTATGTCTGAAACTTTTTTAGCTAAACCAATTATTATGTCATAGAAAAAATGACTATAACTTGGAATTTTAATAAACCTGTATATATTGATTACTTCAAAATAACGTATTTAATTAGTACTTTTACTACTATTACGTATTATAAGTACTTTTTAAAACGTCATCAGCACTAATATTCTTTTATCGTCTATTGGGTAGTTCAAGTAGTTCAAGCTTAAGGGGGTTGCAGCATGGTTTTTACAAAAAAATTTTAAGTACCTATAGATATAAAAATAATAAAAACGCCACCCCATTGATAAAATTGTTCTCTATACATTTTAAGAATTTTGGTAAATCAACCGCTTCAGGGGGTCGAAGCACAACTAGTTTTTATGCGTTTTAGACCAATAAGCAGTGCTAAATTAGACTTACTTCCCAATGTTGGATATTAATTTTTGAAGTATGAATGGATTTGCTGACAAATTGTCTAGGTTCCTTAGGAAGACGATTTTCGATTTGAAATTTGGTATGCCTAAAATAAACTCAAATGTAATTTGGGAATTATCACTGAATTTTAAAAAGTAATAAAAAATAATTTTGAAGGTCTTCAAAAGAGAAAATTGAAAATCACCTTCCTAAGAAACCTAGAAAATTTGTTAACAATTAATGCATACATACTAAAACAATTAATATCTTTTTTTTTTATTTATTATACTTTAATTGTTTCAACATAATCTTGTTTTTACAATAAATTAATATCTAACATTGGGAAGTATGTCTAATTTAGCACCGCTTATTGGTCAAAACGCATGAAAACTAATTGTGCTCCGACCCCCTTAAGGGGTAAATTTACCAAATTCTCACAATGTATAGAGAAAAACTTTATCTATGTGGTGGCGTTTTTATTTTTTTGATTTCTCTACTTAATATTTGTTTATAAAGCCCATGCTGCGGCCCTCTTAATACATTTTCTGGCAAATTTAAGACCGCTGGTTCCTGGCAAGATATTATAATATAAGATTTTGCATAAACGTTTTTTTTTGCCAACAGTATTATAAATCTGTTGTTTGGTTTTCACATTACACACACACTAATGGTTTAGCTAATGGGCACTACTATTTTATTCTTCCCGGAAACGATGTATATAGGTATCAACGGTCTACATAATTTTTTATCATTTTATTTTTTATAATTATTATATTTCTCTAAAATTACTAAGATTGCGAAAAGGATTGTTTTTTTTCAACTACCTATCGGCGATCGGTGTTAAGTAAAAAAAAAAATTTCATTAAAATCGACATACAACTGTACTAGGTACCAATCGGACTTTGCACCTAGTTCGTATCACGAGGCGCTTGCGAAAACAAACATTAAATTATAAAATTATGTATAAAGTATATAAATTTAATAATTGGGTTCAGTGCAGATAACTATCTCTGTCGAACGGTAGCGTAGTATATATATATATATTTTTTTTTTTTATATAAATATATACTATATATATTATGCATCATACTCTACTCTGGACTATGATCCACAAGACACAACACTTAAAACTACCAAGTCCCATCAGTCGCGGTTTAGAAAAAATATTATATATTCGGTGACTGTATTTTTCTCTTTTTTTTTTTTATTATTATTATTATTTTACTTATTTCAAAGTCGCGTTGACGTGACGTAAGTCGGTAGGTAGGTACACGAGATTGCAGCGCAAACATATTTTCTTTGGATTTCAAGGATAAAAACAATATTGTTTATTATATTCACATGACTTGGTATTACTGAGTGCTGTATATAATACAAAATAATGTACGGTATGTAATAATTATTATGTCTGAATGCGATACCGTGACTTATCCCAATAACTATAGGAATTTTCGTTAAACCAATTTTAATGGGACAACCCCCTGCCATGTCAAATCACCGCTAAATCAATTTTATTATGTAATATGTTGTTATGATTGTGTTTTAACTGTTCGGCGGTTTTCCGGTTATGATAATAATTATTAAACATAAATGAATGTATTTATATAATTAATTATATATATATATATATATATATATATATATATAATATAATATACTCAATATATTAATTCATATTCACGTGTACCTACGCACATGAACGTTATGGTCGCGAACCTAAAGCGTGGGGAAATATGCGTCAGTGTTAAATTTATATAACACAAATACTGGCGAAATTAATTTTCATTTCTCTTGCCTGGAGATTTTCGATGACCCGATTGATTTTGTCGTCTACGTCCTAGAGTCCAGTCGAGGCATTTGAAGTATCATTATCATTAAGTTAAACCTGTGACTTACTCCTAGTAGTCTGCAAACCTAGCATTATTTAGTTTAGCGAAGCAAAGTGAGCGAGTGCCAAAACACTGGGTGTCCTGTCGTCCAATAAAGGGCTATAGTGAGGTAGGGTCAAGTAATCGCTTCATTAGTTACTATATTAATGTGTAGTGTGAATTATTTTATCTAATTACCCTATTACATTGTAAAGAATAGGGGGTGTCGTATAATACACCAGTACCTTTGTAAGTATCTACTAAAATAAATTGTGTGACTACTAAAAATTAAATGTACAAATTTGCTGTTTTATAACAAAATAATTTAGTATACGTATTTTTTTTTATCTGTAATTGCTTTATTTTGATTATTATATATTATAAAATATAATCTTAAAGCTCGAAAAATAATAATATTATTATTAATGATCTTAACATTTAAATTAATTTTTCCCACCACATTCTTATCAAATGAACACTATGCGATCAGCTGACGTTTAGTATCTCATATTCATTAAAATAATATACGCAATTTATAAATAATTAAATTAATTCATTCATTGATAAAAACATGAGCTGGTTTGCTTATCCAAAAAAATTTTGTGTGCCTGTGTACATATTTTTTTGACGTTTGGATTCTCCTACATAAATAGATATAGCACAATATTTCTTATTTCTTAACCTACTAGAGATAACATGTCAAAATCACATTTTAAAACTATACATTTTTTAGGTCGTTAATAAGATCTAGGGTGGGAAGTGGAATAGAAGACTTTTACAGATTTTAATTCAATAGATATACTGCACGTTCAAATTAACGTAGCACTCCCATAACTGTAGGACTCATGCAATCTCAAATGTATATTGGAGCTAAAAAAAAATGTTAATTTGATTTGATAACTGTTAGTATTCAATACTTATTTCTCAATGTTATATTTTCTAGCATTTAAAAGTAGTAATCAAATTTAAAAAAATGGATAATACAAATTATTGTCGCAGATATTTCATTTTTATATATTATAGAATACAGACATTCCATTGTTTAAACCTGTGTAGGTACAAAAATAATGAGATATACAAAATTTTATAATACATATTTATGTATATGCCAGCTAACAGGGTGATCCATTTTATCTATATGAAAGTTGTTTCCTCTAAAAATAATTGCAACGCAACAGTTTTTTTTTGAAACATCTTACTTGATAGTAGTTTTTTAAATTTTAAAAGCAGATAGGTCTTCAAAAGATATTTGTGTATATTTGTAAAGCACATACTTAAGAAAATATAATATAATCCAAAAAAACTATACATTTGCAATAATATTACTAGAAAACGGTAAGCAGAAAAAAAGTGTTTCAGGTCAATTCCTATTATGCATTATAATTAAATTTTAATAAAACATAAATGACTTTGTGAAGTTTTATTAAGACAATACTTCATTAAACAGCTGTATGTTTTCTTGTTATTTTAACATTTATAAACAAAAATAAATAAAAGCGATTCGACATTTTTCCATTACTGGTAATATATTACATACTATTATCAATATTTAAAGCTGTAACGACACAAATGCTGGGCACCTCTGTAATACATTAACATTAAAATTTGTATAAAATATAATGTACTACGTATAATCAAGTTCACAGAACAGTTTGATGACAGCTGACAGTGGCAACAACAAATAGTATTCATCTGAATAGCATGAACGGGCACGTTTTACAAAAAGAAAATAATATTTTTCATTAAAAGATTAATATTTTCCATTAGTGACGCATCATCTGCAATAGAAAAACTATACGAAGTACAACAACAGCCGTTAAAGCAAAATACAGAAAACACAGAAAATTAGATTGGTAATTTGCTACTAAAATATCTGTGCTGGAATGTAATACAATGTCTAAATTTTTTGATAACTGAACAATACGTGAGGAAAGGATGATAACACAGCTCTTGAGGAAGGCATTTAAATTATGTGATAACTTGTAACATCCAAAACGAATTTTAATAACTTGTATTATAATAGTAAATCATGATCCTATCACCTGATGCTACAGATAGATTAAAGTATTATATCATTTTTTTTCAACTCTAAAAAAAACACAGTAAATTTTCAATATTTCGATGATGCTTGTTTGGGTACTTCAACAAATATAAATTAACATTCATACAAATTTTGCTTAAAAATCAATTATAGTTTTATTTTTTATAACAAAGTTATAAGCAAAATTCGTTTTGGAAAACATTACAATGTTACTGCGAGTTATTTAACATTCCTCTATGTTTTGAAATGCAAAATTATTTGTTTGAGATTTCATGTGATTCATAATGACTTAAATCATATAAAACAAGTTAATACATTTGAGTAATAATAATAATAAACATAAAATTTTAGATTTAAAAAAAAAATAATAAACAATATTCAAAAGTTAGACTATATACCTAGGTAAAGGACATGGTGTATTATAAAATAGTAATAATATGACATATTTATATATATATATATAAACACACATATGTAGATATGCATGTATATATATATATATAACACATATAAACATTTAACAAATAACATTAAATTCAAAATAAACATCATTCACACTGTTGTATAATATTGTTATCGACCAATGGTAATAATTTATATGCTTAAAAAAAGAAACATTTTTGTTTAATTTCGCCTATTTTATTTAGTTAGTAATTGGTTCTCATTTTATTTATCTGGGTCATCGTCATGTACAATATTACTCAGAAAATATCTTAAAATAGTAATACAAACAATAATAATAAATATCTCACAAAAACCAAACCAGAACCCTCATTACAATATGTTTTTAGGAGGGATTTTGGCATAAATTAAATAACAGTTTTGGTAAAACCATTTAAGGTAATAAAAAAAGGAAAATATAGTTCTCACTGACGTCACTGCGCTGTTTCGTCTACAGTGGTTTTCATATACATCAGGCATTGATTAATGACCGTTTGGGCCAAACTGTGTATTACTCCGGGTTGACTGATCATACTATCGTTGTCGTCAAGCAGTTCTTCCATGATTCTCAAACCACCTTCAGCTATGACGATAGAACAATATTTTTCAGCTAAAATTTAAAAAAAAATGTTTTTTGGTTGTTAACTGTTTTTTAAAACTTTGTAAACTCTTTTTACCAATATTTATAATAAACTTAACCAATTCATCCTTTTAGGATGGCTTACATACATTGGCCGTTCTGAGAGGGTTGTGAAATTGAGTATCATTATTTAAGCATACATTGTACACCATAAGTGTCTAAGAAGAATAATAAATATATTGTTCAAACTTACGGTATACTTTAGTGAGATTTGCTAAAGCCCAAGCTGCCCAATGAGAACACTGAGGCGTGTGTCTGACTTGAGCGAGCTGCAATATCGGCTCAAAAGAGCGATAGTTAATGTTACGATCGGCATCTAGATTCCAGTTTTGTATAGCTTGAGTCATTCGTTCTAACACTTTTTCTCTGGGTGGAGTTTTTACGATCCATGCTTTTTTGCCATCCGAGGCTAAATGAGCAATCACTCCAGCAGCATTATAGCTGACCTAATTTTTTTTTTTTTTTAATAAGTAGGGTAAATCAGTTTAAACAATCTACTATCACTTACTTCAATTCCATCTTGGGTGGAAAATAACAGGTCAGAAAATACTTTGAGAAAATGACCTTGCATTAGCCTAGGTCGCAATTCTTTTACTTCTGCGACGTTACCCAATAAACCCATCATATTACGCATCAGTTCATTTTTGTCTGGAAAGGTCTATGTAATAAAAATGTACAAAATTAGTATTTATATACATTAAAATAAAATTAGTTTTAAACATACTGTTAAACATCCTAGGAAGTACTTCATGCCATTTCCGTCTAGGAACCTTTTACAGTTGGTTGGCGCTTCATCCGTTACATTCCACATTGTAGACCACGCCACTTCAAGAACATCATCACATACTCGCCGATGAAGTCTATCTTTTATTATAGCCATCATTTTCTAGATAACAATATATAAAATACACAAATTGTAAACCAGAAATAGTATCACAAATTAAACGACATATACCTTAATGGCACCAGCATCTCCTAGTTCGTTTTTCTGCTTATTGTTAACTTGACATGCAACTGAGTTCAATAAATAAATGCCGATTCTTTGAACAAACCCTTCTTGATCACTTGTCGACACTATGTGCAGCAACATTTGTACTAATCGTTTAAACTCGAACATCTACAAATATATACATATATAATCATTATTAAGAATATTGTTATACATAAATAAGCAGTTATCTGTTTTCACATATATTTTTCTAGTATTTTTTGTTGGGAATATTATAAGTTTTTTTAATAGTCAATAGCTTTTAACATAAATTATTTAATGAAAATAGATTTAGATTTAATGAAAATGTCATAAAAATGAAAACATTAATTGCAATTTCAACCTAATCTTTTCATACAGTGTTTTTTTTCTTAAGCTTGAAAGTTGGAAGCCAACGAGCCAAGAGTATGGGTCGTAACAAACAAAATTATGAATCAAATTTTTTTAGATTTTTTATTTTGTGATAAGCATATCAATTTGGCTGGAAATTATATTTAGTTCAACATAATGGCCAAGTCAGACAAAATCCAATCATTTGCCCGGTTATTTTTACAACATAACATAAAAAACAAACAAAAATTGTTTAATACTTTCTATTGTATAAATACAATCTTACATTTCAATTAAATAGTAGTGCCCTAATTTAGAGATATGTTGCTGGTGTATTTTTGTATGCTGTATTTATTATGGTAATTAACATTCTAGTCCCCGACATTGGATTATAATTCAAATAATTATTGAGTCAAAGTACAGAATGTAATGCAGTAGGTTCAAACTTCTGAATTAAGACTTAACATGTCATGACAATATTATTTACTATATAGTTTAGTTAATTATTATTAATCTAATAAAAAAGTATTATAATTTTATTTTAAAATGCAATTTTTTTTCTTTTTCATTTAGTTCCCACTAAATAGATTAAGGTCACTAATATATCATTTTCAGTTATTACTACTGTTAAGAGGTGGTCGCACCGCCCATTTTTAAGGAGTAAAGTATAGGCAATTTTTTAAAAAATCTAAATTTAAAGGTTAAACTATGATGTGTAATTATTAGTTCAATAACTAAGACTCTATTTTGGTAGTTAATTTATTTTTTAGACTATCACAGCATCCTTGAAAGCGATTTAAACATGTTTTTTTATCTCTACTTCTTTAAGCAAACTGAAAATAACTCGTTTAATTTTGGATTTAGAGTAAAAGCATCCATTATAAAATTAAAAGAAAACAATATTCCAGAGGGCAAGACGGTGCGTTTTTTTCATTATTCCAAGTAAAATGCTCAATACATACATAGTTTAGAAATAACGACTATTTTAACATTTTTAAATGACTGTAACTTTTCAAAAAATGAATTTTTTTTAAAACCGTCTTGCCCTCTGGAATATTGTTTTCTTTTAATTTTATAATGGGTGCTTTTACTCTAAGACCAAAACTAAGCGAGTTATTTTCAGTCTGCTTAAACATGTTTTTACCACTGAAAATCACCGGTGCGATGCCCTCTTAATAGTGTTTTCTTCATTCAATTGTTACCTACCTGATTTTTTAAGATTTTAATGAAATTGTTTGCATAAAAATTCAAACTGATTAACCTCTAATATGCATGAATCTTATTTAATTTGGGCATTTTTTAATTGTACTAACCACGTCTTGAGGAATTCTCAATTGACAAAGAGTGAGACATCCGTTGCGCATCATAGTTTCATCATAATTATGAAAATCCATTCCAGTTAACAATGTGCTAATGATTCTCCTCTTTACAGTTATATCATTTAAAAGTAAAGGCCTTTCTTTATTTTTTACGATATAGAAAAGAGTAGCACTAGAAAAAACATAATTATAATTAATACCATAAGTATAACATAACGTAAAGTAAACAAGTAAAATGATTACCGACCTGCCCGAAATTTGAATTAATTTTTCTTTAACATATCTTGTTAGTGCCTCTAAAACTATATCCAAAGCTTGGTCTATTTGTGTACACTGGTCATACCTCAACAAATGATAAAGATCGTTAAGAATGTTTTGTAGTAGTTTTGGTTTATCCATACAAGAAGCGGCTGCATTAAATATTTGTTCCTCAGTAGCATCACCACTTATCTATGGAAAATAAAATAAAATGTTAATAATTATATAGATAACATTAGTTTTTCTATTACAATTTTTGCAGGAATATCATGCCGTCGACAAGCATTATGCATTGTATGATAAAGGCCTAGAAATTCTAATGGATTATCAACTCGAGATTCTAAACCAGGAATGTCTGATTGTTTTCCACTCAATGATTCACCAACTGGGTGTTCTGCCGTGCCTGTAACAATATTGAATTTAAAAAATATGTATTAAGTAAAAAAAAAAAATGTAACATATTAAAACAAGTATTCAACACACAGCTAAATATTTTGTACTCAAATAAAACATTTTTTGAATGCTTTGTTTGAAAAAAATTGCTGTTAATTAAAACTTAATATAGAATATACAACAAGAATGTAATAACCTAATTTTAACTATAAAGTTATTTAAATTACAATACAAAAATTCAGTTAAATAGCTATAATATTCAATTATTAATATCCAAAATATTAATTAAATCTTCTATTGTTATACACCATTCAATTCTGGCTTTTTCCAATATTATTAAAATTAATTATTTCTATTATATAACAAGGCACCTGTTACATAAACAGACCTTAACTGAATCTCTATGGTTAAACTAAAAGTGTAGAGAGAGACTAACTACTCGTCTTAGTAAATTTATCATAGTAAAAGTAACGCGGTTTAGTTGTATACAAAAAATTAGTAAACAGACCAAGAGATGTAAAATTAGATCAAGTTAATTTTCATAACATTTTAATGACATTTATTATTTTAAATTAACAACTCTAATAATCTCTTACTAAAAGGTGTCCAAACCTTGAAGTTTTCAGGGACAGGTGAATAGTTGGGTAAATAAATTCAAAGAAAAGAAAGGAAAATTAGTCACAATACTACAAGATGTGACAAAAATTTTAAATTACCTTTTCCAGCCAAATTTGTACCAGATATATCCAATGACATAAGATTAGGAAGACTTTTTACAATAAGCGCTAACGTTTTATTTTCATCCTTGTATACGCCTTGTTCTGGATAAGACTCGGTTTGTGATATATCTAAAACACTAGAAGTCCGTCATTCATTAAAAACTGTACACGAATGTTAATGATTTATGTTACTTACACTAGTGATTGCAATGTACATATATGTAGAATGGCTTCATTATCTTGCAAATGAGGTACATCAAATAGAATTAATGTATGCAAATTGGTAAGTTTACACAAATATCGGAGACTGCCAACACCCAAACAATATGATAAATCTAATACTCTAAGCTGTAACAACTTATCCAGCATAACACCCAAAAATATGTTATCACTGCTGTAGGGAGATTCCGCAATCGCTCTAAGAACCAGGTGTTTGAGGTTTGGTGCTTTTTTGTTGATACGTATAGGTACATCATCCAATGACAATGAACAATTGGTTAACTTGTTATAAGGTGTTATTTGTACATTAGGCCCGATAGTCAGCGACCGTAGGTTATTAGCGTGTTTAAATATATTTTTATACGTCTTATGTGTTAGGTAATGGCAATTGGTTAGTGTAAGTTCATACAAGTCGTGACGCAGAAGGTATTCAAGGCCATCATCGGTAATGCTCGAGTTGCGTATGTGTACCGATCGCAAGTTCGTTTTGGTGACGTCCTCAAATAGATGTGCGAAACAGTCGTAAATCTCATTTCCATTGTTCTGGTATGTTTCGATAAACGGTTCACAAATTTCACTGGGCAATGCTAGCCCTTCGTGCAGAGTGTACCCTTCAAGTGTTTCTTTACACAAAAGGTCTAAATGGCTGGCTACATACTTTAAACATAAACAAAACAGAGACTCTGGCACCCGTTTTTCTTTGTGCCTGAATTTGATCGGTATTCTACGATGGTCAGTCTGGTACATAGTAGGAACAATTACTTACTGCGAGAGCTTATGATCTCTGCACCTTTTGTAAGTCGAATGGTGCGCCACCGATCATCGCATTACGAGTGTATGTCATTTCGGCGACTACTGTCTGATGAAGAAACGGAACGTCGTTTCAATGCCTCGCGGTTGAACGACAAATCTTACTCAAGTCTATAAAATATTAAAATATGAACGGCAACAGCGGCGGCCGTTAAATGCTCTCGCAACAGCGACCTTTTGCTTGACGGGTAAATGCCAAATTTGGATGTCGTCACCCAAATAAATGCTAATAATATGTTTAAGTAAACTATTTCGGACGGCCGATGTCACTACTCTCGGACAGTACGGCAAAATTGCAAAACACAACGAAATTATTGAATGTGTTTTTATTAATAAAATGCGAACATTCATGAACGTCGAACAATAACAATTTATCAGCTGACCTATTATCAATGACGGTGACAGTGTAGCCGTCAAGAGAGCACCGAATGAACGGGCCACAAACCGCTCAGCCCGGATACAGTTATCAATATTCATGCCGGGAATATTTGTAATTTAAATGGTCAAATGCCAACTCTCCAGTATGCATTTGTGTAAGTCGTACTCAATATGATAAATTAAATTACTCAAAATTTCAATTTAAACTCAATCACAAACGGGATCACTCAGAGTGAATATAAAATGTGAAACTATGAAATGTTAAGAAATTAACTTTGATAACAATAGTTCGTTGTTATCAGTTATCACATACGAATGGTACAGCAAAAAATCACCTTTTTTAAATCTAAGAAAAAGAAAATACATGTTTAAAGATATGCAGTACGTCAAAATGAATGTAATGCCAGCAAAGTTTCAATTTTTAAAGGTGACTACTGACTTGTCTGTAGTAGGTACTAGAATTACCCAAATTGCATAGCAAAATAGAGGAGAATAATATTATATATTTATATATCTGTGCTTAAGCGTGGCTATTTTTGATAGATCAAATTTCTTTTTTCTGTAAATGTTAAAAATTTAGATTTTTTGAATAAATTATTAAAAATGTGTGCATTGAGTATAGAAAATTAAAAAACGCTTAAGGACAGATAATGTTTTCTTCTAGCTACTGTGAAAATTTGGTGATTTTACAATTCCAAGACACATTGCGTCGTTTAAAATGCAACAGTGCATACTGCATATTATCTCAAAATTTGATAAAATGGGTTTATTGTCAACATTGATAAAGTGAGCTGTTGCCAACAATTTAAGTAAGACAGAAAATGTCTGTCATATTAATGGTTACACTGTAATTGATAAAAATGTGTTTTTTGCTTCTCATGTAAACATTCAAAATCTGAGTTATGCACTGTTGCACTTTAAACGACGAGTTTGGTTTTGATTCGCGTAAATCAATTTTGATGGAAATTAATTGTAATTTTGTTTATAGAAATGACTGTGATAGTCTGACAAAAAATTAACAACCAATAATTAATTCTCATTACTGTATAACTACATAAGTATACTCTATATTGTTTAAGCTCTAAATTTTGCGTATAATTGTCTATACTTTACTCCTTAATTAATGGATGGGTACTGGGTAGCCCGTAGCATCCTCTTAATGCCATTTGTCTGGGTAGCCTACATAATAAGAGAGCGGTCAACCCGCTAATGCGCTCTGATGATTGGTCGGCGTATACATTTTTCTTTACATTACTTTTCTCTACATTTTTCCATTCGATACTCAAATAGTCGAATGACCTATTTTGCTTGAAATCTTACTGTTAGTTGTAGTACACTGTACAGACCACCCCCACTGCAATTTTTCTTATTGTTTTTTAAAGTGTACTGTTTATTGTACTCGGCAACTCTTAGTTTTGATCTAATAACGCGAGCAGTACTATCTAAGACATCACATTTTAATTGATATATACTAATATAATATATTGTAAATTGTAATGATGTCACCCACGACACTATTGTTAGTAATATACAGAGACCTCACAGTTTTCGACTAGTGTAACTAAGATATAGGTGTATCAGCCGGCAGTTTACAAAACGTTTTTAATCCCTTGCCTAATTAACGAGTCCACGCCGCGCCTTCTAAATACTAATTAGTTCAACTGAAGTGGTTTGTAGGAGATAACCAGTAAACATATTGTTCTATGATACTATTTTTCTGAAGTTTTTTTTTAAATAGATATAATCTATTTTTTTGTCAAATACTATATTATGTTTTATGATCTATAAGGTAAAAACTAAAAACTATTCAAATAGCTTTCCGATGATCTGTTTATATGTTGTTATGAATATAAAAAAGATCTGCACTTGGTATTTGTAGATTTTAAACAAGCATACGATTCAATAAGCAGGAAAGAACTATGGAAAACAATACTACTGGCATATGCTGATGACATAGTCATAATGGGAAACTCAAGAGATGATGTTATACAAACCACTCGAAAATTGCTGAAGTCGAGCAAAAGGATGGGACTAGAGGTGAACCAACAGAAAACCAAATATATGTGTATATCGCAAACAGAGGCAGATAACTCAGATCTAAAGGTAGATAATCTTACTTTCGAAAAAGTTAATCAATTCACGTACCTCGGAGTAAACATAGACAGTGCAAATATTATGCATGATGCAATAAAAAATAGGTTAACAAATGCTAACATGTGCTATTTTAGTTTATTAAACTTACTTAAATAAAAAAATCTATATTATGAATCAAAGAAAATCCTATACATCAGTTACCTTAGACCGATCTTAACATATGGGTGTGAGACATGGTCAACTACCAAGGGAAACCACCAGAGCCTAATTACTTTTAAGAAAAAAATATTAAGAAAAATGTATGACCCTCTTTATAACAGAAAAACAGAACAATTTGAAAGAAGACATAATAACGAATTACAAGAGCTATACGGAAGACCAATTATTCTTTCATATACGAGAAGCAAAATACTTGAATAGTTAGGACATGTATGGAGGGCAGATGGCCGAAATGAGAGGTAAAAGACCTCTGGGCAGGCCCAGAACAAGATACTGAGGAACTCAGTCGTGAAGGATCTAAGAGTAATTCAAGAAATGGCTCAAATAGACATGGCGTACAATAGAGAAGAATGGAATAAGTTTGTGGCGGCAGCGTTGGACCTTAATGGTCCCTTAAGCTGTATATGATGATGATGATGTTTAAATTGATGGGGTGATTCAGCTTCGACTGAATTGTTTAACGATTCCTCCGTATGCTTTCAAGTCCGAATATCCGAATCTAGCCTTATAATTTCCTTAAAATTTGTAAGCAACTTACAAAATAAAAAACGGAGTCATTTTATTTTATTTTATTCATTAAAGAAATACAATCATTAATTCTGATATCGCAGTCAGAATTCAAGCAAAAACGGAGTATATTTCTTTTACTTTAACCTGTTTCAAAATCACTTTATTAACAAAGGAAAGAAAATAAACGATAGAGCGAACTCCCCCCTCCTCAAAAAAAAAACAACATGTTCATTATTAGTAGATACCTATTCAGTCTATTAAAAAAACAATATTTTGACACTTTCGACTATGATTATGGACAGCCTTCTTCTCCTGAAGTTCTTTAGACTTGATAATACAATTGACCGCTCTATGTCCCATTCGAAAATATAAATCTTGGTAACATAACTTTGTTTTTATGCGCGGTCCATTTAATAAAATGTCTATAAAAGCCAATCAAAGTATAATAGATACAAACCTAGTGATAATTGGCGATTGGAATGCCTTTCCGTTGTAGGTGAAGCATAAATTATGCGTTTTTGGAAGTTTTGTAACAACAAATCTTTCTGTACTACGAATTGTACCACTTGTTGTTGGTTGTTGTAGTTAAGATAGCGTAAAGATTTTTTTACATATTGAAACGCTTCGATGCGTATCTGTAGATACATACAACATTATTGCGAAAAATGTGCTTAAAATTATTTTTTTAGTACTAGGGTGGATACGATTAGGGTTGATCATCTGCTTATAACAGTTCATTCCTGTTTTTAGCCATATACCGTAAATTACAAAATAATATTTTTTTTTTACCTGTTGACTGTTGATTTACTCACACGTAGGAACCTATGAGCTAACTACAGTAAAAGAGTAATTTTCTCCTTGTGTTTTTGGTTTTTCCTTAATAAAGAAAAAAGTTTTATTACAGATTTTTTAAAATTGTATACGTATAGGCCATTCTAGAACTACCTTCTCTAATTTTCAGACCTTAAGCCCTAAAAAAATTAAATAAAGAAAAATTGTCTACCCTTTATAAGGGAATAGGTTTATGATGTTTTTGGTGTATTGATTGATAGCAGAATATCTAAATAATAATTCATACACATTTTTAACGTTAATGCACCGTGATTTCAAGTTAAAAATAATATATTTTTTTCGATAGAAAAGAGAAAGGGGTGAATTTTTAAATTGTCGGCTAAAATATTTATAATTTTATAAATAGTTTAATTTATGATTTTAAAACTATCAATTTTATCTTTATAAATAAGAGTATTGTAATATATTTATATTAACTACATAGTAGGATTGTATGAACTCAATAGTATTCATGCATATAATTATTAAATGTATATGACTCATTGATATTGTACGCAAACAATAATACCTGCACCACATATGACATGTATTATGCAAATTTTATAAAATAAAACAAAACATGTATATATGTATATACTGCGGGTCAGCCAATCAGAAGGGCACAAAGTGACGTACAAAATAGTTCCACCTACGAACGCTGGACAAAAGCGCCTAGCTCTCCCTTTTATAACCTATTATAACAAGACAGTCAGCCACTTCAACCAGTTCTCTATAGCCACTCATTCGAAATAGTCGTCGACTGAGCGTTGACACCCTTGATGGCCTATTGGTCAGTGGGAACGCGTTTGGTCCGACGACAATTTCCTAAGCCCAGTCTTTCAGTTGTTATGCTTGCAACTCAAATCTTTGGGGCAAGTATCTACAACTAAACATTCTACTAGTGCTCTCTCTGTTTTGGTTTAACTCAGCATACATATTAATATTTTGTCTGCACAAGTTAAAAAACTGTATTCAATTATTTCTTTTTTTTTAAATAATATATTTTTAGTTTCTATAATCAAAAAGTTCGATACGAGCTATTTAAGCGTGAACCCTTTTTGGGTATATTATGACAACATCAAACGCGCACCGATACAGTTGAATAATTGGGACAATCGAAGCTTAGTTCGTCTTAATAGTCCAATTAGAGTTATACTCGTATATGTTACGGTTTCTTGGATAACTGAGAGGCAGTCCAAGAGCGTACTATATACAGTTGGATACTTAAGATCAATTGAAGTCTGATTCTCTTTAATAGTTCAATTCGAGTTACTGTGTTGTGTCTTCATGGGAAGTCAATTGGGGCAACTCTGAAGCACACTGAGTACT